GGCTCCTCCTGAAAAAGAGTGCTAGATCCACCCTGGTCATGGTTCTCAACTGCCCACACTCTTATTGGCACATGGGCATTGTAGCTCCTCCTAGCACACACCAAGCAAAATGTGTCTTATGGCCAAAATTTAGTGTAACTGTCTGCAGGTAAATCTGTATGAATTAATGCCATACAAATGATGTTGAAATCATTTTCTATTCAGATTCATTGTAAAAACCTGTAATTCTCCAATGATTCTCAGAGTTTTTTTTTTTTTTGGGGGGGGGGGGGTTTCATGTAAGAGCTGTAAAGCAAAGCCCATGAAGTTAGAAGGTTAGAGGCTCTTTGCCTCTGTAATGGCTGCTTCAGCTAACAACTGCCTTCAACCCAACCTTGAAATTAAAAAATATTATGCACTCATTGCTACAAACAAAAGCACCTCCCAGCATTTGGGGGCCTACATTTGGTACACATGATCATGAAGCAATGTGCCATGAATCAAAGATTGCATGAGCATGTCATATGTTTGCACCTACCAATTCTGTAAAAATCATGAGCAGAAAAAAACATCTAAGACAATCATGGACTTAGCCCAAGAGGAGTACAATAAGTCTTCTTCCTCCAATCTCATATGATTCTCCTGGAAGGATTAGATAGTGCTTTTCAGCCTGGTGCAGGTGCATTCTGCTGTATGATACAGTATTAGTTTGAATGATTTCTTGGTTTTTGACAGTGCAAGCATTCCTGAGAAGAGCCTAGATTTCATAAATGTCTGGTTGCAATGAGGTCTTGACTACTGCTGCTTTGGAAGAGTTTTAGGCCTATGTGAATGATATGAGATCCAACAATTTCTTCACTTTTAATAGGCTTGCTTGATGTGCCAGTATTTGAAGACCTCATATAGGAAATGCAGTGTGGGAGACGTATTAGTTGGAGTGAACCCTCTGCCTCCATCCCATATGGATTCCCTCCGTTTTTATAGCTCAGAGTTTTTGGTTCCATGGCTTGTGATCTCTTGTGACACATTTTAAATTGAATTTTGACTATATTCAGTAATGGAAAGACTCAATTTTCATGGAGTACTAGTTAAAGTGGAGGCCTCTTCTAAATGTGATATCTTGGTCCTCAGTTCTGAAGAACATGTGGCTTGCTATTTGACCACTCTGAGATTTCTTTACTAACTCTAGTCAATGCATACAACAAAGGGGCCATATCTCATATATTATAGTTGTTAATCATATCATTCCTGTAGTCCTGGAGGACATGGTCTTCTAGAGTTTTCAGCCTCTATGATGCATGGAGATCTGAAATCTCTCTCATGGCCAGCAGGAGTGCATAGTTAAGGCCATGCTTGCTATTCAAGTTTGCTTCTCCCATGTGAATAGCAGGGAGCAGAAGCCACACTTCTTGATAAGATATTGAAGTGACTATAATATTAAAATTTAGAATCTGCTGTGTAGAGTTTGTGAATGGAATACAGGAAGTTCAAGGCCCATTTTGTTGCATATGGTATTTCAGAATGATAATGAAGATATATGTTCCTTATATCTGCTGCTAATACTCCATATGTCGTCTTTTCATATCAAGATGGTATTTTCACCGTGTTTACATTCGTGGAAAGAAAATTTATGCCTTAATATCTGGGCAATAGCTATGCATTGTAGTGCCAATTTTTGTTCCATTTTTATCAGTTGACTGCATCTGTAAGCCATGAAAGAGATTTTAAATCTTTCCTAATCCTATCAGCCATAATATTTTAGTTTAAGAAAAAGGGAAAATGTGGCTTATCCAAGACTATAGTCTGTCCTTGCATCTCACTGAATGCTCTTTTGGAATTGCAGTTTCTGTGTGGCTTTGTTGAACTCATGTTTCACAAGAAATAAAGGTTTCCTTAGGAATTTTGCATGTGGGGATTGTTTTGCACTGCTCATGAATTGGACATCTTGCATGACTTTGTGTGATTTCATTTTGCACTCTTCCTTTTGGAATTGTATGCATTTTGTGATGAATGTCATATCCCATGGGTAACAGAGTTGAATGCATGGGGGACTTTGCTGGGAATAATGCCAGGAACAGGAATCTGAGGTTTCTGAGGAAGAAACTGGTTAGATTGTGGGTTATATCATGATTAAGCACTTGTCATCAATTTTATCAACTACTAGTTGCTCTTTAGGATGCAGCTCTGTTTTTTGAGGCCCACAGGACAGGCATTTTAGAATAGGGTAGTGCAGCAATGAAGCATGGCATTTTGATGCAAGTCAAGGGGAGTTGGACTTTTTCTCCGTTCATTAGTGAGCGTATTATTTGCATTCAAGATTCTGACAAAAAGCATTGTCACTACTGGATCTGCAGGTTGATAATGTGAAACTGATGATCCCATCACCTAGTAATTTGGGATAACTTCTCCAAAATTTTTTCCTTGCAGTGAAATGTTACAAGCTGTTCACATGAGGCAGTTGTGGTAATTTTTTTATCACAAAACTTATCACTTTATATATTGAACTTCAGAACACATCAAGGAGCAAGATTCTCTAAGAAAGTGACAGTTAGACATACCAGGACTTTCCCTTGAAAGGTTGGTGATGCTCCAACACACCCTCTTACGACTTCCCAAGACTGTACTATTCATGCCATGGTCATTGTAGAGGACCCAGTAGAAACCTTCGTCTTCCGAGCATAAGTTGAGAAAGTAAGACCTACAAAGAAGTAAAAACAACTGTTTCCATATATGACTACTTGTTGTACTTCTGGACTGATTTCTATTTGAGGATTTTTACTTGAAAATTACATGAGGATTTTGGACTGATAATTGCACATGGATTTTTTACTTAATTGCAAATGGATTTTTGGCTGATTATTACATGATTTTTTGGCTGGTTATTGCATGATGATTTTAGGAATAAAGATGGGATATTTTATAATGACTGTCTTTACATCACATTTTTAGAAAAAAAGGACAGTGCAAGTCACCAGTGAGGTGATTTTAACTGCTTTAGAAGTTTCTTTCATGGTGCTGAAAGTGTAAAACTTGAACTCATTTTGAATATGGTACTCCAAGGGATTTCACTCATATCCCTCAAAGGAGAGATCCTTTTGTCTTGAAGTCAAACCCAGATAAGCTTGTATTCATTACTTTCACTATTTAGTTTATACTTTGCAATTGGAGACAAAATGGAACCAAATGGCCTCATGTCACTCATCAAAACTGTTTTGCAATATAATATGATGGTTAATTTTCCCTCTTTGTATTTGAAATTTTGAAATCACATGGCCATCATCACGACACTTATTTCACTTCACAGTATTAGGTACCTAGGGTACGGGACTTCCGTGATCCCCCAAGGTCTATCCCTTTTATAGTGTACTCAACGTCGTTTCAGACTTATTTACTCATAAGAGAAAAAGAGATTGCAGTGTCTCTGTTAGATGGAGTTTACCAGGAAAATTTGTGGGTATGAATATGAGGAGAGTTCAAGATTATACAGCTGATACATATTTCATATAGAAAAAATCTGGTTTTTCTCATTTTTTCACTGGGCAGTGAATATTAGTTCTGGAGTTCTGGATGCAGCTGTGCTGGTGCACACTACTTATGCACTATATCTCAAAAAAAGCTGAACAGTTTATTTTTCAGACTATCTCCATCCAGTATTATGTTTCATTTTGTTTGCTCATGCTCATGGTATCTTAGGGCAATGCATCAAATTCAATAACTTTTCCAAGTTCAAGTATCAAAATTTACAGTGGACAGGCAAGCTGCACCCTGCTTCTCTCCAAGGTACAACAGTTTGTCAGGGTCGTGCATGACTTAACACAAATGGCAAGCAGCCTCAGTGGGGATATTGCTTTTTGACATATTCCTTTTAACATGTGTTTTTGGGAATGCTTTGCATTTATGATGTTTGTTTCACCCTTTGGTTGTCCTCTTCACTGAAACACATGTAGTTCCTACTTTGAAATATTGCAATTACAAACACTGCAAGAATCAGAAGTGAAGAAAAATATATGCAATTGGGAGAATATTGGAGCCAAATATTATCTGTCCCCTCCAGATTAGTTTCTTTGGGGATACTTGAAGGGGAGAGTGTATGCCAATAACCCTCAAAACACTTGGAGCATTGAAAGACAACATTCGGAGGGAGGTCAGGCAAATTTATTCCAGGAGAAATATTAGACAGGGTAATTGATGACTTCAACGTCCAAGTCGCAGCTGTGATCCAGCGCTGTGGTGCCTGGATCAAACATGCAATAAGGTACTGAAATTGAGTGTGCAATATGTAACACATGTTCATGATGTTTTAAGAAATGAAATTCCAGGTGTTTTTTTACATTCCTGTGAAATAATTATTGTATTATCTGTTATAAAATATTCATTTTCAAGGATATTCAAAATTGAGGGCATTTTTTGGGTTCCCCTGTACACACATTGTGTCTTTATGATGAAGAAAAGCACGGGCTGGTCAATGGCATAAAACTCAGGGTAGTGATGAGATAAATGTAATTGAAGACCGAATTTGCTAACATTTCCTTGTCAACTCCATATCTACCAGGCTCTATTGATATCTGTGCTTTTTGTATTCATCCTTTAAGAAATAAATTTGGAGTAATAGAAAGATTAGCTCCATCCTATCTGATAAAGAAGAGTTTTAATCTTAAACGTACCTTCTTTGTGATGTACGGTTCACTAAACAAGCGAACGTACCGACGTTCACCGTCCTTTTGAGTTTAGACTTGACTCTCTATAAAGATGACCATTTTTCAAACAGTTCTTGAAAGAAAATCTTCAAATAAAGGAGCAGAAGGAGAAATTGAAGATTTTTAGTACATGTTTAAAAAATAATAATATTGAAAAATCTGTTGGAAAAGCTTAACAAATCTTCATCCAACCAGGATTACATGTTCCTTTTAAAGGTTTTATTTTTTCATATTTCCAAATCTTTCCTGTTTTTCACACAGAAGACAGGGAAATAAAAATCTGTTAGAAAAATGTGAGATACTCAAGATCTTCAGTATCCCAGTATGTCAGAATCATTCCAAAATGTTCATCTCTTCATTCTTCCTGATGGCATTGGGAAGAAACGATTGACAGCTCTGCACAAGTGTGCATCCTCAGCTGGCTTCTCCCTTCAGCCTCACTTCACAAGGTACTTTTTTTTAATGAGAAGTCTGGTTTGTCATTTAATCCTTACATTTTCTATTATGATGAATTTTTAGAGAAGTGACACACCTCGTAACAGAACTGGATTCATTTACAAAAGTACAGTCTTCTTCAAGCATACCTAGAGAGCAGCATGAGCTCCTGAACCATGTTCAAATTGTATCCATCCCTTGGTTTCATCAGTGTATCAGGTGAGGTGAACATTGCATGAGAGCTGTTTTACATGGCTGGTGTATCAAACCTTGTGTAAGAAATGCTGTCATATTCTTGAAGAGAAAAGTCATTGGTATCCACTGCAAAATTTCGCCTTGAAGTACCTGATGATGTACCAAGTACAAAGCGACAGAAAACCAAAGTGGTTGAAGGCTTTGACTTAACAGCCTTCAATTCAAATGTGGCCAATCGGACAGCTACCATACTTCACCTCAATCATCACCTTTCAGTAAGTCAACATATGATAAAGTGTGCCTTTATTCAAATGAGTAAAATCAAATTACTGGTTTTCCTTCTAGTTTTGTGATATACAATCTCTTATTTCCTCAACTGTTTTAAATGTCGCCCATCTTTTGAAATTTTTTTTTTTTCTGATTTGAGTGATTTCCATTGATTTCTGACTTTTTTCCTTCAAGTCAAAGCATAGAGCATCTTTTGATGACTTTCCAGACCCCCCTGGACTGTCTTGCAAGTTATCATGAACTGGTTGGTCTGAATGGCATGGGTGATGAGAGAAGATCACAGGCATTTTACAAAGCCTCTGCTGCCCTTCGTTGTCTTCCGTTCAAAGTCTTTGCACCTTCCCAAGTAGAGGGTATCAAAGACATAGGATCTGGTCATTGTTTGAAGGTCATTGAGGAGATTCTCTCCCATGGTACAAGTGAGGAGGTTCAGAGCAAGCTTGCTGAGAAGCGCTTTCAGGCTGTTGAGGTAAGTGATTGCTTGTATCCTATGGCATGCTGGTTTATCTATTTAGACACAGGGAGAACAGGAAACTCTTCAGGAATTCTTTTGATGGAAAGAGCCCAAACCAATGGACTTTCCTCATTGAAAATCATTCATAATTACTATTACTTTATTTCAAATGTTTATATCAATGTGTTCTAATGTGACAGTTTTTTCTCATTATTAATGGAATCAAGAACTCTTCACTGGCAATTTTTATAAGATTAGCCCTAGATGATTCACTATATCTCATACTTTCTTTTTGGGTCCAGGAATTGAGTCATGTGTTTGGTATTGGAGGTGCCTTGGCAAGAAAGTTTCATGACCAGCATGGATGTCAGTCTGTTTCTGATTTGATCCAAGTTTATAAGTCTCTGAACATGAAAGATGAACGTGTAAAATATGGTGAGTTGGAAGAGTAACAGGATTTTAGTCTCATGAAGAATAAAAATTAAAAAAGGAAAATAAAGTGAATGTGATTTTCTTTCCTGATGCAGGTCTAGCTTTCTTTGAAGATCTCAAATTGCCAGTGACTATAGAAGAAGCTATGAGGATTAGAGAGCTATTAGAGTCTCTACTGGAAAATATTGATCCATGCAGCTTCTTTGAGTTGACTGGAGGCTTCAGAAGGTTGTTGCTTCTCCAAGCCTCTCCTATGATGGTGTCAGATGGTCTCAAACAAGCATGACCCAATTGAATTCATTTCATTTATTAAATTTAGCATCAGTGCTCTATTTGCCATGAATATCAAAGCATAATCATGATAAATTATTGGCCATTTCAGTTAACCTGAGAAATTGAAAAATTAAAAATTAAAATTTTTCCTCATGGTTTTTGCTTGTCCTTTACTCTCCCCATTAATGCCTATATCCTATCAATTTTGCTCCTGTTTTCAGATTCAAAATTTGTTAATGTATTACAGAGATTGAGTAAAAAAAATGCAAGTTTACACATTTTTTTGAGCCACTCATTTCTTAGATTGCTTGAGATGGACAATAAACTGTAAGGTATATCCAATAGCAAACCTTTCACTCCGCTGATACACTTTTTCAAATTCTTAGGGGGAAAGAGATGGGACACGATGTAGACTTCCTCATCTCTCACCCTGAGGAAGGCCATGAGAAGGGAGTCTTGAAGAAGCTAGTCACACAGCTCCAAGCTGGCCATTTCATCTTGTATGGAAAGTTGGAAAATGCTGAGTATGATTCCCATCAGAAGCCAGCATTAGGAGATCAGTATACAATAGACCACTTTGAGCGGTGTTTCTCCATCATGCGTATCCCCAAGAATGGCATGAAGTTTGATGATCCTGCTCCTCCTCAAGATTCTAGTGAGTTCCAGTCCCTCATTGTTGCTATTGATGTTGCTACTTTTAATCTCTTTGATTTTCTGTGCATTAATAGGCTTGGATGATCTGGTGACATTGAGCAGGAGTATGAGATCATGGAGAGCAGTAAGAGTGGACTTACAGTATCGAGGTGCCAGACTCACCCCTATGCGAAACCAGCCCACCTGTCCGTCGTCGGTCATGTACTCTCAAGAAGCAGAGGTACGAAGGTTTCCCGAACCAGACTGAGAGTCGTTAGTACGGGAGTGGGACCCCAGCATTGTGAGCCTCAGTTTCATTCCTCACTTACACCAATTAAGTTGCTCATGAAGAGGAAAATATTAGTTGCTTTCATGGAGTTAACTGCTGATAAGCTCTCCATTAGCATCGCTTTCCTGCTTTCTTTATGATTTCTAAAAAAATGTTTCAGTACTCAAATGGATTGCATTTTTCTAAATGCAATCACTGTCTACCATTGTTTGCACTCCCTCTCTTGCATCAATTATGGTAATAGTCTGTGAGAAGACTAAGGGTGGATTTTTAAACAGAGCACTATCCAATAATGCAGCTTTATTTAAATAAATAAATCCAGTAAATAAAACTGCATTATTGGATAGTGCTCTGTTCAAAAATCCATCCTAAGATTAAATAGGGAACATTTTCTTCAGTAACTGATGGTCCTCTTTGATGGACATGATCTCATCAAAGTGAGTTGAACATCTGTTAGGCAGTAAAACAGTGAGCCATTCATGTCAGATAGCCAGATGGTGTCTGTTGCCAACTGAATTACTAGTAGTACTGTAGTTCTTGGGGCTTTTGTGCCAGTGACATGGCACAAATGTTTATATTGCTTGCTGAGGTACGAGGGCCACTCAATAAGTTATCTATTTGAATATGAAAGGGATGAGCAACAGGCCTGTGCCTNAAGTTGTCAAGGGGGGTCCTTCTTCTCTATGACAACGCGCCCGTCCACAAATCATGGAAAGTTGAGGCAGCAGTGAGGGAGTGTGGCTTTCAGGAGCTCAACCATCCTCCCTACAGCCCGGATCTGGCTCCTAGTGACTATTTTCTGTTCAGACACTTGAAAAAATTTTTGCAGGGAAAAAGATTTTCATGCAATGAAGAGCTGAAAGTTGCCGTTTCTGATTGGTTTGATGGACAAGAAGTTGACTTCTATTCCTAGGGAATAAAATCCTTGGAATCAAAGTGGAATAAGTGTGTTGAGTTAAAAGGTGACTACATTGAAAAATAGTGTTATTTTTCCCCTCGGATGTTTCTTTCTTATTCAGGTAGATAACTTATTGAGTGACCCTCGTAGTTCTCTGCTCTTCCCTTTTTATTTCCTTAATGAAACTGCAGGTTTTATGCTCACAAGACAGTTATATCTGACATCCAGCATTATCTAATTATCTAATACTGCATGTGGTGCTCTCAATGATTCATCCAAGCTTCAGTCTTCCTTTTCGCCTGAAACCTTGCTTTACTTCTTTCCATCCTCTCTGAACCAATCTCATCCAGAAATTTCCCCCTCATCTCTTGGTGAAATGGGCAGTTCTAGCATCTACCTGATATAGAATCAGATGTCTTCAACACGAGGCATCTGTATAGCTTCCTGGAACTCCCACACCAATTGTCATGTAGGCTAGTTTTCCCTATTTGCAGTTCCAGAGTAGTTGGGACAAAAGTGGCATAACATGCTTTTTGAAAAACTTCCAACTTAATATTTCTGTATTGAATGGATACTAAACTTAGATTAAATAAGGGATTCACTAAACATGCATCACCTGACATGGGATGATTTTTCATTTCTGCTGCACCACTCCATTTTGATCATTTTAACTCGTGCTTCATGAACCTCACCTTGGACACATTTTTTATGTCAGTAGCGAAGGAACTCTCCTAGTCTATTCAATTTTCAACAACAAATGTCATTTGGCATGAAGGAAGGTGAGGGTCTATGCCTTCTTTCTTGAAAATATGGAAGCACAAGGTGAAGCCAAATCTGATGGAATTGAAAGGGAAGCAGTGGAACAAAAACTGTTGTCTAAAGTATGTTAGAAGTAACATGGAAATGAGGATATTTTGACTGGAATAAGTGCAAGTATCCATGGCGCTGTTGAAGTTGAATTTCTGAACAAAACCATATTCAAAGTATCATCATATTTGTTTTCATTTCAAGTATGGTGTTACATCAGTAACTTTGGAACTGCCCATTCTGCTCCAGATCTTCACCTCTTCATCATTGATGGTCCTCTCCCACTAGAAAGTTACTCTCAACAGTCAACATCTGTCAAGGCTGTAGCACTCGGCTGTACCTCTTCCCCTCTCTGAGGGATGACAAGTGTCTTTTTGATGTACACCAGGAACTTGTACCTACACACACAACTGAGAAAGTTCATGTTTGGTTTTTTATTTTTTTTTTGTGTGGGGGGGGGGGGGAGAACAAGGAAGGAACATGCCAAAACCATTCTGTAAGGTGACAGCAACATGTGTCACCTAGGGTTTTTTAAAGCTAAAAAGCACTGCACAGCAGATGACTATAAATACCCCCATCGTCTTGCTCAACTAATGCTCTTTTTCAACAGGGGCAATCCATACCAGCCAATACTGAAGAGGATGTATTTCGAAATCTCCACCTGGATTTTCATCCTCCAGAGCTCAGGAATTTCTGAACTGTCTAAAAGAAGATCCTGTGCCAGTTAATGTTTTGTCCTATTTTCATCTTGTGCTCGATTACTACACGAGAGTGATCTCTCACTTCTCCAGAAACAGACATTCCTGCTAGTTGTGCTCGGGTAAAGAAGAACCTGGAATGTTTCATGTTTTACATTCTTCATGATTTCTTTAGGAATTATGGCAATTATTAATAAAGTGGAGAGGGAGTCCTGGAACACATGGAACTGGTTTTCTTGCCATTTTTTTCCACCAATCCTTGTAAAATGTACAGTGTGTCCCATTTAAAACGCAACCCAAGAACAAGCACGTACTACGGTACAAAGATGAAGTCTTTTCTTGCCTTCGAGCAGGTGGTGGACATTTTCAGCATCTTTTGCGAAGCTGTTCCTGTAATATTCATCCTAACAAATAAAAACTATCAAACAATTCGTTTGTCTTGTTTTATTGCTGTTGTACTTTGGGTTGCGTTTTAAATGGAACACCCTGTATTTTCACCATCCCTATAGATCAACTTGACTTAATGGTTACATCTCTTGTACTGTTTAAGGTAATTGTTGGAAGTTTACATGTAGTATCAGAATCCGCTTCAGCCAAGGGATTGGAATCCCCTTGGGTATAGCTGAGACCATGACAGGGATCAAATTATTGGCATAAATGAGATGTCAAGAAATTAGCGAGATAATATTTATGCCAAGGTTATTCATAGTCGAGATACCTTTGTTAGAAATACCTTGGTTAGGAAGATGACGGATGAATAATAAACTCCAGCATGCCATTCCAGAAAGGAAGGACCGTGTCACATGGTGGAATCTTATCTTTCTGCGCTGACCCTGTCAATGATTTCCCCAATCCCCCACCGCCCCCGTTTCCTTCATCGCCCATGTAGGAGAGCCGTGATGGAGTCGTTGAGCCCGGGTAGGTGACGAAGGAGGTGAATATGTTCGCCGTGACATGAGCGGAGTCGTCAGGGTGTGACCTTACGTGACCTGGGTTCGTTACGATCTTTTTTCTTCTCAACGTTGTTGTTGCTCTGTTGTGGAGAACTAGGTCGGGACGCAGACGTTGGCAGACTGTTTCTCTGCTTTTGATCTACTCCACCTGGCACTGTCAGTCTCGCGGATGGGTGTAGCTGATGAAAGGGAACTCTCGTTAAAAGAAGTAAGTTGGGAAGTGGAATCCTCGTCACCGGGTTGCGTGGGTTTCCTTCTGGATTGGGATGTTTATTTTTTTTTTTGTTCTGGTGATAGATCGCATTCATGCGTGCGGTGACATCCGCGTGCACTTCGGTCTTGACATTCCTTTCATCTCACTACTTCCATTTAACCAAAGCAGCGGTAGTCGGTAAAAAAAATATAATAATAGTGATAAATTAATAAATAAAGGCATGGGATAGGATGACGCATTCTCTCTGTAGTGGCACTTGGAGACATAAAAAGAGGCAAGGTGTTAAAAAAAATTGTATACGATTATGGAGAGATATTGTTTCGGAGGGAAAAAATTGCAATAGAGGAATTTTGACCTTTTATTATTATTGCGCAGCACGAGTGCCGCGCGATGTTTTTGCAGGTATATGCCTTCTGCTCTCTATATCTATGGATTCCGCAGGAGTGGAACGAATATGGTTCAAATATTTGAATGTGCCTTTGAGAAAGTTGATTCTAGTCATGCCACGTTTAGGATCCATGGACTCATGAGTCAATATCGAATATCTTCATTATGGGAATGGAGCAGGGGCGGATCCAAGGGGGGGGGGGACCGCTCCCTATGGTCAGGTTACAGTTCTTTTTTTTTTTTTTGCTCTTTTTAAAATTGCTTTTGTATTAATTTTTATTGGGGGCCGGTGAAATATTAATAGATATTCAAGTTTTTACCCTAGACGAGAAGTTAAAAAGTGGTGAAAGGCGGGGCAGGGGGAGGGGTCGGTAGGAGATAGGGAACCGCGCCCCCCCCCCCCCCCCACCCCCCTCCCCCCATGAAAATTTTCTATATCCGACTATGGAGTGGACGTGCCCTTGAGAGGCCCATACCAGCCCGGTTTCCACGCTGAAAGCAGAGTAGTTTTGACTTTTCTGACTGGAGGGGAGCACAGGCTAAGAGCCGTCGTATATCCTTTAGGTCTCCCTAGAGAGGATCGTGAGCACGACCCGACATAGCAAAAACTGCAGTGAGAGAGAGAGAGAGAGAGAGAAGGAAGGAAGGAAGGAAGGGGGGGGGGGAGCGCCTGCGAGAAGGAGATAAAAGAACCGGGGAAGGGGGTGTCTCCCAGTCAGTCAGTTTGAGCAATCAGCCATCATCATCTCTCCCTGCGAGTGCGACACGCCCCATCTCGCATGGACAGTCCCTGACGAGACCGCCTTCCATTCGCCCAAGGTAAATCCATTTCCCACATCCCCAAACCCTCAAAAAATTGAGATAGGAAAATTAAGTGATTAAGTGTGCACGTCTCTTCCCGTTCTTTCTTGTTATCTGACGACCCCTAGCCGTTTCGCTCGCTTATCGTTATGGAGTTCTTGAGCATAGACGCGCGATCGAGAGTAACTTTATATCTTCCAAGTACCTCGATGTTGAAAGTTTTATTTACGACTTATCTGCTGCACGAACCCGAAACAAACCGGTATTTGACTAGGACACCTGATACGCTTTCGAAAATGGGTTCTTTCCGAAGCATTGCTCCCATCACCACATCTCCATACCTGCCCGGTAAAGCAATTTACTTGACGATCATTTTCATTCAGCTGGCGTCCGTCCAGAACGACCTTTAAGGTCCTGGGGCCGAGCTGCCCCAGGACCTTAACAACACGTTATCGAATGCCCCCCCCCCCCCCTGCCGCACCTTAATCACTCATGAATGAGGTAATCGTATTTTTTTCTGCATTCGGGTGGTCATCACAGGATAGTTATCGATCCGACTCGGCTATTCCCTTGCTCTGGCTATCAACTCACCCCGAACGCATTGTATTGACTTGCGTCGGAGTGTTCTTTAGTCCATAACCACCCTTCTCGGTCATTCAAGCGTCACGCCATTTGTTTCTTGGGCTGTGAGGGGGGCAACGGCTACTCATTTGACCTGTGCTAAGTGTTACGATAGAATATCATTTCCCTCTGAAGGGGAGTAGAACTTCACTCGGCTTTTTTTCACCTGTTGGGTTGTTGGGAGATGCTATCATGCGTTGTTGAATTTCAATTCGTTACCTTTCAGTTCTCTCTTCTCCCGCGCCGGAAGTACCCAGCTCGAATGATTTAGAGACAACCGTTTTGGGACGTGACAGGTTCTTTTTAACATTCTGGAACGAAGAAGAGATAATAAATTTCTTCCTCATGGTAATTCAGAAGATAAAGGCCGCATTTCTTCTCCCATACCGTATAATTATATTTTAAAATAAGAATAAATAAATATGAGAGCGAAGGCTGGAATGCTTTAGGATTCGGACATGTCGCTCTCAGGGACTTTTCTTGAGGTACGTCACTCGTCTGAGTGCATTACATTGTAAGGAATCCGAGCACCGCGTGTAACTCGACCTGTTGGGCAAGAGATAGACTCATTCGTTCGGCTGAGCCCGTTGGGTCCCGCCCCGTCTCGAAAGGGTACCACGGGGGATGGAAATTAGCAATGACCATGTTGGTGCTAATGACGTAATGAGGGGTATATCTGGCGTGGGAATGGGTGTTGCGTCATCCCGCCCGACAGCAATGACCGTGACCAAAACCGTCCCCTCACGTGGTCGAAAAGCGACTGCATTCCCTCCCGTCCCGTGATCCTGCCAGACGTCGCAATGCGTGATGCAGGAACGCTCCAGCAGGAGGGAGGAGGAGGAGGTGCCCGGCCGCGTTCGAGGCGAATCGAGAGATGAGAACCCTGGAACTGGTCTACTGGGCGTCTGCGGCTCTCTTGGCCGTCGTGGGGATCATCGGTCTTGCCGTCTCCGTCGCTTTCTTCTGCCGGGTCCGACTGCCGCCCTTCGACGTGAGTCTTGCTACTCGATCCTCTTTCGCTCGGAGACGCGTCAAGTCACCGCGCAAGGTCGGGTGTGTCGACGGCGCGGAACCGACATTGACACTCGCGAGAATAATGTAGCTTTAAGGCTTCGCGTGTTCCCGCCGTAGCTGTCCGATATGATAGGATTGAATGACGTATATTTGGATTTGTAAACATGCTCCTCATTGGCACAGTCGACGCCCCCCTCCCTCCCCCTCTTTGTTTTATATTTATTTAGGTCGATGGCGTTGACGTTAGATGGGGCTCGGTTCGAATGGGGACGGTTCCCTTGGGACCAGAGGGAGAGCATTTCCATCCGTTAATTTCATTGAGAATGTCTGGTCTCGACGTGAGGGACCCAAATTCGCTCTCTCCCCTTCTCATTAATTGCGAGGTGGGGTGGGGGGGGGGGAAAGGGGGAGAGATGCCAGGCCCTCGCAGTGACACACATGGAGAGTGATGGAAAAGGGGAAAAGGGGATAGTAGTCTCCGTGGAGAAATATTTTTAAATTAATGCGTCTGCTACGATAATCGTAAATTACACTTTGCCGGAAGTCGTTAGACGTGCGATATATCTGCAATGGTAATGATTCTCGTCACCCATGAGAATAGCCTCCTATCATGAATGGGATTCGCGGGGGAAATCATATAAAACTCATGAGTTTCATTACCGAATGCAGCGCAAAACACGCCGTTGTTTGACTTAGTACGTCAGGGAGTAGGATGTTGCTGGTGTAATATTTGTTCCGAGATAAATCCACGGTTTATCTCCTTAAATAAATAATGTTATGAAATTCCCTCCGTTTGGTGTAGCCACAAAATCATATTGAAAGGGAAGGAAATGCTTGATCGTTTTGTCTCCAAATTCGTCCATCGAGTCAGCTATGGTCACGCCGTTGTGTTAGGCAGAGAGAGCAGATCCGTAGCGAACTTCTTGGGCGTAAAGACCGTTCTTGGGCGAAATCGACTTCATTAACAGAGCAATTCTCCAGTGGAAACCGCGGCTGGACGCTGTCGTCTCCTTGGACTCGCGGAGATTTCCGGATGCGTTACTAGCGAACTTCAACGCGCTTAGTTCGGCTGAACCAGCCGACAGAATATTCTGAGAAAAAATTTACATTTTAAAAAACATGTAGATGGAGCATACCGGGTGAGATAAACACATCTGTAGTCTTCGCCTTTTCTCAAGTATGAGCATTCCAGCAATCGCGCGTTTTTTCTCCGCATCAGGTATGAATCATTTTATTAAATTATGTAGTCTTGTAATTTTTCATTTTGCGCAAGAGAAATCTTGACAGTCTCATTCTCCTATTATTTCCAGGACAGAAGGAACCGAGTACGCGTTTATACACAAATAATGCCGCGGCATTTTTTCATGCTCGGCAATTTTTATCCTTGACATTTTTATCCTTGGCATTTATTTTTCGTCACGCTCGAGTTTAACGATGAGGGATGCATCACGTTGCAGTTCGGCGTGGTCCTGGATGCAGGTTCCTCCAAGACGAGAACGACTCTCTTCAAGTGGGCACAGCCCAAGGACAACGGAACAGGGAAGGCCATTCAGGTCGACACGTGCAAGGTGAACGGTGAGTGGCAGTCGAGATGGGTTGTTTCATTCCCCGTCTGTCAATCCGGCGGTCTCACTGTGGGAGTTGAGAAGGTAATTAGGGGGCGTATTCGTTTTGTTTGTTTTTTTTTTTTTTTACTCGTTCTCGGGCGCTTTTTCATTCGACTCGTGCAGCGACGGGCTTCATTAACTCTCGGAGAAGCTGTTTTTTTGTTGCATGGTTATGAAATGAATGCGGATTGATCGAATGGCGAATAACATCGAGAAGGTTTTTTGTCGCATTTTGAATCTGACCGAGTGCAAGTTAAACGCCACATGCTTTCTTCGATAGGAAATTTGCTGAAAGTTCGCTGTCGATTATAGAATTCCTTTGTTCGAATGCACATGCATATTAATTAATATGTAAATACACATTAACCCCGGAACTGGTCATTTGAGTACCAGCGACCCAAAGGGGGTAATTACAAGTAATTACACGTAATTGTAATTGCAACTCGTAATTATAAGTTCTATAATTGCATTACTTTATTTCCCATTCACAACTGTTGGCTTTCCATGCTCAGTGCACAAGTACGTATCAAACCCCCTTGGGATCGCAGATGCCACAGTGTTCTGTTTCAGGGTCAAAGTGCCCTTTCCGGCTGCATTCAGTGAAAGGAAAGATTCTTATGCGTATTCTTGATACCATCACCCTTGAGGGACAGGTTTCCGTCTCTCGCATTCATTGAGGACGAGTCCGTCCTGAGTGTTTATTCTCCTCGTGGCCAGAAGGTCTCTGTCCGAGTCACATCCGGCATGTTCAGAGGAAGGAAATTTGAATTTGGAATGGCGGGTTTGCCATTCATACAGGGTAGTATCTCATTGTTTTCGATTAATATAAAATTCGATGAATTATACTCGAGGGGAAATCATTGTGAGTAATCGCGTATGCGACTGAGTTGCGTTCGACTGAAGCCCTCTGGAGCACTATCAACTTTCTATTCAATGTGTACGACAAAATGCCATGTGACCGAAGCTACTGGCCAGGCCGGGGCGGGCAGGATTGGTTTAGCCCTTTGACTGCCGTTGAGCCGATGTGACATGTCATGCTAAGACTGCCATGAGCTGACAAGACGAGGCTTGTTTTCTTTTGCACGTAGCTCATGTTTTTTGTCAACAGATGGCAGAATCATTCAGTATGCCTGATGTCTGATTAAGACATCAGGCAGGGGTCAAGGCCTGACAGTAAGAGGGTTAAGGTAGGGCCTGGGTCTAGAAGGCAATCAATCGAATTGTCGCTCCTTTTTTCCCTTAGGATTCTGATGGCTTCATTGATCATGGGACCCTGTGAACTAAATAAAGACATTGTGCTCGTTTTCGCTTGATGTCTTAATAAAAAGAGCGAAAATGACTTTTTTAAATTTTTTAAATGCTAATTGGAAACATGTATGGAGCTGCGAAAAATTTTCGAAAGTGTATATTTCTCCATAAAAGTTCTGAACTCCAAAACCGCTCTTTGTTTTGTGCCTGGGGAATTCAGCAAGGCAAGTACTGTTTATACCAACCAAGGTAGATATACTCTATCTACCTTGGTCCCAATAGGGAGTAGTTCCCTAGACTATCTAATAAAATGTAAAAATACCTGATAGCGCTAAAGAAAAAAAAAAACGCGTGTTGTTTGACGCTTTGTAAAACCCGTTGTGGAAGGTCTAGGCTAGGGATTTTTTTCCTACTACATAGGAAACGCTGAAAAATTTGTCTCCCGAAAGCTTCATGTGTCAAGGTTGTCTGAATAAGAAGCGACAATCACTCAAAGTGGAGTCGTAAAATGACGCCATAAGGACTGCTTTTTTTTTTAGTAGGGCTGTAGCGAAGTATTGGCTACCACCGCTATCGACCGCTGGTGTGGCACCATCGACTGTCGGCAGGGTTGCAAGCTGCCGATGCCCAAAGGAGGGGCTAAAGAAAACAAACATTACTTGAGCTTGTGAACGCGAGACTAGGCGCCGGCCTCTCCCAGACAAAATATCGATCGGATTATGTTTCAGCTCGAGTGTAGGAAACGACGGAGAAAAATAGCGGTAATGGAAGGAAAATCATTGCACCTTCCTTTTATGTTATGCTTTGGCGAGGGATGTGTCGTTCAACGCCCTAAACAGCAGCAATAGGTAACAAGGTAACCGTTGACGAACACATAGACAAACAGGCCGAACTGGACTAAAAGTGGTCTCTGTCGTATTAAGGAGGCCTACTGATGAGTATCATATGCCTTCCAAATAGACCTACTCGAATGAATATGCGATATTACCTTCACTCGTTGTTCATGTTACTTTCTTCTTAATCTACAGACCACGATCGGCACCGCCCGACAGGTATGAGATGAAAGTCGGTCATCGACCCACCGGCCAAATGTTCCATCGGTACACAAAAGCAGTCTTTTTGGCGTCAAGGGAAATAAATCTTTCGAGCAGTGCTGAAACTCCATCCGCCTCATGCGCGTAAAAGATCCTTTATATGACTCCACTTTGAATGGCTGTCGCTTTTTATTCAGACAACCTAGACACATGAAAATTTCAGAAAACAATTTTTTTTTGCGTTTCCAATGTGAAACGGAAAAATCACGAATCCAGATGATTCACGATGGTTTTATAAAGTGTCAAATAAAGCTTATAAAGCGTTTTTTTTTTCGAGTCATCCGATATATACAGGGTTCTTATAAAGTTTCTTGACATGTTCTCACATCTGTAATTTGAATGCTATTCATCACAGAACAATAACATTTAGTAGACACAGCTTTAAGACCATGGGGAACACGCTTCCGTTGTCAATGGCAGTGGCCATTTGAGGGCCCCTCTGATCACTGCACGATTTCTCGATTTACTCTTTCATTACTGGTCGTGGGGATACCTCAAGTGCCTGCTTCCTCAGCTGGCTTGAAAGATGCCATCCGACATCATATAGCCTTGTTGAGTGTTGGACAACGTCGTTCAGCTGTCTATAGTGGACATGAATGGTGTTCACATTGAGCAGATGCGGGACCTCTGATGGCCGTTGTGGGTTGACCTAGGAAACATGTTCCCCGTGGTTGCAAAGGTGTGTCCATCAAATGTCTGCTCCACGATGAATAGTAAGCCTATTCTAGTTACAGATGTTTACATGTCAAGAAAGATGCCAAAAAACTTAATGAGTACATCTCCCTGTCAATTTAAGCAACGTTGCGAAATGTTATTGTAGCAGACATGAAATGTGAATATATGGGCACCAACTCAGGAACAATCACGTGATCAGCACGTGTGCTCCGCATATCTTATCCCCCCCGCTTTTCTTGTTGACAAATTCTTTGCAACGGTCATGAATGACCCAACTATATGGCCTCCTCCCCGGTATAAAAACCCATCAGTCCGACTTCAGTCCGGAGGAGGCAGTCGGTCGCTTGCACGACTCAGCAGCTCGAGCTAGGAGCTTTCTCTAAGGTTTTGAGCCTGCCAAGAGTCTGCGGCTGGACGACTCCTCCAGAGCTCGGTTGACCCGATTCCATTCGTGGATCCACCCATAAAGGAAGTGGAACGGCTCAGAAAGCGCTGCTCCATTTGTGAGTAAACGGTCGCCAATCTGTTCGCGGGTCACGAACCTCGAGCTCTGTTGACATCAGCGTACGTACCACCTGCTCGGTTTGACCTCCACTCAAATCTCAAGCCAGGACGTACTACGACGGTACAGGATCCACGACTCCGAACGACTCCCTTCGGACCTTGATGTCTCCAGATGGCAGAATCCCAGTTGTTAATTGACTGATCGGCTCGGTTTGATCCAAACCTTGAGCGGAAGTGCTACCGGCTTGTAGCACCGGTGATCCCTTTCCTTACGGATAGGAAGGCCTCTGGACCTTGGTGTCTCCAGAGGCAGAAGAGTTCCAGTTGTTAATCGACTGGTCGGCTCGGTTTGATCGCTGATCCAAACCTCGAGCGGAAGGGCTACCGGATTGTAGCACCTGTGATCCCTTTCCCTTACGGATAGGAAGGCCTCTGGACCTAGGTGTCTGCAGACGTCAGAATTTCCACGGTTAATCGACTCCTCACTTGAGACTGGCACCCATTTGAGTAGAGCACGATTCTACCTGAAATTTCGTTGCAGCAACTGGACGAGGACAGGACTCCGGGTTCCCCCCAGACCCGGAGGTGCGGAAGCATTGGAGAACAACAAGACGTTGTTTGGATTTCGCATCTTTACAAGAAGATTTGTACCTCGCGGACAGCCCCTGAATTTCACACGAGTCTGTAGTCATTGCATAGTCAATAATAAACCTGGCCCGTATATCCATCAGACTGCAATCGTGTTCCACTACCCACCTGCCAAATTTTTTTTTTCGATAAAAGTATAAGTACGGCAATCAGCCGTCTACGGGAGATTTCCCGATTTAACTTACACATTCATCCGATATGAGCGTCAGTCGGTATAATAAGCTGAGTGATTATGAAGTCTCGATTTATTTTTATGTACAGTCATCCCCCGAAGTTACGCCGTAATTGGTTCCAAGACCGGCGACGTTAGTCGAGACGACGTAAGTCGGGGGATGACTATATGCATAAATATGCATAAAAATAGATCGAGATTTTATCATCACCCTGTACAGTTTGTGCCATTTGTCACTTCACGCTTTGAAGGGTATGTGTGCACTAAGAGGAATGCTCGAAATGAAATATTACGGTGTGAACACTTCTAAGAGCTATTAGAGATCGAGTTGGACGCTCTCCAACACAAATCAGGGCTATCCCCGTGCTATTCAGTTTCGACTTTTACACCTGTACTCTTCACGATTGATGACGATTCCTTGTTGCTTCGTCAATCGTGGCTTGCGCCTTCACTTCTTGCTTTCTGGGCTCAACTACTGCTGACGCAACGGAGTCATTGTGCGGTATGATGCAGACCTATTAGATCGGTACCGGAAATGGGCTGATGCCGGGAATATTCATTTGAAGCATTTCTGTCAACGTGCGTCGTACTTCTTACGGAGTGTTAACGTGAACTTGGAATGGTACTGGAGTGTGAATGTGCGAAGTTACTTGAGCGCCACTTTGTACACTAGACGCCTCGGAGGGTGGTGTCGTGGCGGTGGCAAGGACCTCATCCGCTGAGGTGGAGCTTAAGCAGATGGGCGCAGGCTGTATCAGAGGCTTTCAGTGTTGAGACTCGAGGGTGTGACTGGTGTCTTCGTTTTTTTTTTATAGGAGGGATTGCCGACCAAGACCCGGATATCGAGAACCTTCAAAATTACTTTCAGGACTGTGTAGGCGATGTTCTGGATTCGGTTTCTGAAGCCAAAGCCCCTCCAACCTTGTTCCTGGCTGCGACTGCCGGCATGAGGTTATTGAGGTGAGAGGCACCAGTTCATTTGTCCTTGCAACGGTCATTCATCGTGCAGGGTAATAATTTTGAGCGGTGTGCATCATGCATCTCGCTGGAAGATGGGAATTTGTGCTGGTACTTCCTGAAGGTTGGAGGACCAGGAAAAGGCAGGGCAGGTTCTCACGAACGCGCAGGCAGCGTTGGAGTCCTACCCGGTGGAGGTGAAGAACGTCCATGAACTGGAGGGCATAGAGGAAGGCGCTTCTGCCTGGATCACTCTCAACTATCTGGAGGAGAAACTTAATGTATGAGAACCGCTTTCTCATTCTGCTGTCACTCAACTGTCCTTACAAGTAAGACAGGATCATTCGGATTAGGATCTCCGATGTCTTGTCTTTTTTTTTTTCTTTGACGTGTACCAGCGAGCGGCCTGAAAGACTGGAGGTTCCACTTGTACGTCATTGATTCCCATTACTTCACATTAGGTGAAGTAATGGGAATCAATTCTCTTCACATTAGAATCAGCAAATTTCGGAAAGGGTATCGTACGCCATCTGGATGTCATACGTATATGAAGAAACTTGTAATCTTTAGCTTGAGATCGCGGTGATATATTGACACTTACCCCCCATGTGTTCCTTCGACATCGTCTCCTGAAACTGCACAGCCTTTTCCTCATCATTAACCCACTTCTAGATGTCAGAAAGGACGAATCACCGGGATTGTTGGTAATAGCAAGGGATAACTTCTGTCAGCCCCTCATCTGTCGGCTGGAAGTGGCTGGCGACCTGCCATTTGACGCTTCAGTGCTGGAAAGAGCCGAAAATCTGTCGGCGCGCAATTCCTACGCCACGTCACTAAGTGGATGGGGCAGAACCCCATTCTGCAGTTTGTGGAATGTCTGGATAGAAATAGCTAGAAAGAAGACACCAGAGCAGTGTCTTCGAAACAGTATGGGTTTTCTTAAAAAGCACATGCGGCTACCAGGGCCGGATTAAGATTATGAAGGGCCTAAGGCTAATGGGAGGGAAGGGCCTAAGTATGAATTACATGTTGCAAAAAAAAAATGGAATGGAGGGCCTAAAAATATGAGGGCTATAGCCTATGAGTTAATCCGGCCCTGGCGGCTACCCGTTCATGAGTTATGACAGACTCTGTCGAAATAGTTAAAATTACAAGTGAACAGGCATGCGACTACCGTTACACGAATCCAGCCTAATATTTCCATACCTCATATTCCCTACCCGTTCATGACGTTAACCACCAAAACAACGTGCTTCGAGAGAAATGGCGTGATTTCAGTCAGAATTCAGTCAACGAAGCAAACGACCAGCTCCGACCGCAGCTGAAGAAAGTCTTGAAAGGGAATGGAGGGCATATTGAAAAAGTATTCGACCAATTCAGACTGAATGTAGCTTAGAGGCAGGCAGTAGAGCAGGTATGAGTTGAATGTTGATTTTGTTGTGTTACCAGTGTATGTGTGTCAATCCGATGCAGCGGTGGCACTGCCCTAAAAGGGAAGAGGAAAACAGAAAGGGTTGTGAATTACATCACAGTTTAGAGCAGTTATGATGCGCAGGTGCACCTCAAAGTTTCATCACATTTGCATGGAAATGTCTGAAAATTCATGCACATGCATGACATTGTCACATGGTGAAAAACGCTCGTTTGACAACGTCCTAATTTTTCACAATGGTCCGTCCACAGGAATAGATGTTTTAAGCAAGAATCAAATGTGGATTTGAGCCTCGCAACGGCAGTCGCATGTCTGTTCACTCAGAAAATTGACCATTGCGGCAAAATCTGCCATAGCTCACGAGTGAGTGGTCACAGACGCATGAAGTTTCAACAGACCTTGAAGAACGTAACAGGCAATGCTAAATTATATTTTAAAGTAAACCGTTGGAAAACATGGAGTTTAGAGCAAAATTTCGAGTGGTCTACTTTCTTTTGGCCAACTCTATATATCTGGTTTGCAATTTTCTGCGGTGAAAATCCCCAGAACTTCGACAGCGACCCTCTTAGAACTTCAAGTCCATTGCCGTTCCGCAGAGCCAGCTGCCAATGCCAGCACGGGATCGGGTCTCCCCGAGTGGAAGGAGCTGGGAATCCTTCATTCCCGGTGTCGTTCTCGTTCTCATTATTTTCTTTCTGCCTTCCCTTCTTTCTGCTTTCTTCATTCTTCGAGAAGGGCTTGTCCGATAACAAGTCGTGATCCTTGGGTTTTTAGTGTCGCCATGCCTCATCTGTCGATGCCTCCACGTGTAAGGGTTGGTAATTTTTCATTTACATTTCCACAGTTTCCTCATGGCTTCATCGTCTGACAGCTCGAGAAAGGAATTCCGTGTTTATAGTTTTTTTTTTCCTTTGGAATTTTATCTCTGTTTTAATAAGACCGCATACACTGCAACAGGCCTGACCAGAACGACCTTGAGAGACATTTTTTCCGCTCAGTTGGGGAATTACCTCTAAGACACGAATCTGAAGCCAATCAACCAGGAAAGGAAGAAGTTGTATGACATGACAGCTTTAGATAAGGATTCGCTCCGCTTGAACGGGTAAAAACCCGCGTCGAATTTGAAAAAGATGCTCGACGGCTTGATGTGCGGAACCTGTAATGTCTCCTGCTCGTACGAATTGAGCCACGATTACCATAGAGATTAGTCACTGGAATCCCAAGGTGCCCATATATCGGCACTGACTTTATGCGCCAATAGTTACATTGAATTTATAATGATTTTTCAAATGACACTACAGTTTGCTATAAAACTAGCTTGAGAATTTATGCATTCACTGCCTACATGGGCATGGGAGTGAATGGGTTAAGGCGATTCAAGTCTTCAAAAACGGCACCTTGAAGCTTACGAGGTAAGGAATATAAACAGACAGGCAGAACGAAATGTCATGTTTTGGAGGGAATAATAAAACCCTGACCCCACGACCCCCCAATCCTTTTCATGGCTTTTTTACGCCGTGCCTACCAAGCAGGCTGGATGGATTCTTCGCAATCGCGGTCCCCATCACGTCCGATGACCACTCAAGTTTAACCGATTCCCTGCACGCGTTGCGATTATGCGGGATGCGGCGCACACTGGGAATAATCTGGAAAGCAGTAAATAAACTGCTTTCTTTTTATCTCCTCACAAGACCCTTGCTTCATTTTGCACGAGGGGAGGATTGCTTTTCTTGTGCAATCCCTCTTTTGAAGAAAGACCGCACATTTACTCGCCACAAAGTTAGCCACTCGAAGTAGATGGCCTTTTAAAAGGCGTCATTTCATCTGATAACTGGTCGCTAAACAATCATTTATAACCCCTGCAAAACTGCACTACACTATGTTATAAAATTGGAAGAGAAAAGCAGGTATTCTGGGAGAGGCTTTGAGGATAAATTAAAATTTAGCTAAATATTAATGGTTTTATCAATTAATTGGATGATTAGTTTATTAACTCATGAGTCTAAGCCAGAGGTTAATCTCAATCAGAGCTGGGTGGAGCCCTTCAGGGGTGGCTGGAGTCCACTCTAGCAAATTCTAATGCTTTGGACCTTATATTATCTTTTTCTCCAGCAGTTTTTGAACTTCATGCTTCACTGAACGTGTTCCTTTCCTTTGTAGTGGCCAAGCCCCAATGCAACAGGCGAGATTGAAACAGTAGGCTCTCTGGACCTTGGAGGAGCTTCAACCCAGATCACGTTTGAGTCCCCGCACACACAAGTCCCCGGTTCATATCTTGAACTGGAATTGTATGGCAGAAAATATTACTTGTTTTCTCATAGTTATCTGTGCTTTGGAGCCAATGAAGCTGTGAACAGATTCTTTGCAGAGTTGGTCCATGTAAGTGGGAACATCATGATTCTGTTGTAACCTATTCAGGGTCAGTACTGAAAGATCTTGGTGCATTATGGAGCATGCGTTAATATAATTTGACCCAATATACCAATATACCAAATAGGCTTCCTGATTTCCACATCTCAGACTGAGACTGCAATAATTTGATGTACTATTGATTAGTTTTGGTTAATGGGATGTTCCACTCTCAGAACCAGAGATGCTCAGATGAGAGGGATTCATTAATTTACAGCACAAAGCACAAGGGAAAATATTTCTTTTCTCCCTATTTTCTCCCAAAATATATTGCTAAAAAAATTTGAAAATGTATGTGAACATGTCATAGGTCAAAGTCCCATGTATTGCATATATGCTTGTAGCTAAATATGACTGATGACTTAACTGTAGCTCTTAAAATAGCAACTACTACAAAGAGCAAGCTTAAGCAGCATTCTTTGAATTTCCAGCGAAAGAAGGTGGTAGTTGCAAAGAAATGCATGAATGCAAGGAAACTGAAATGAAAGCACTTAAAAAGGGGTGAAACAAGCATCCATGAAAAGAAATGCCCTCAATAACCAGTGGCTTCCAAAACTGCTCCTATTACAACACCTAAGGAACCTGTTTGAGACAATAGAAGTTTAACACTCTGAAATTTGCTAGTGAGTTCCAATATCAGTTTAGTGTTCACAGTTTTATAGCAGTCTTGACAGTTACTGGTCCTCATGGCATTCCTAATCATCTATTCTTGTTCCACCTCTTCTGAAGCATTGTCTTTCCCAGTGGTGCCCAACCTGTGGCCTGTGGGCAAAAAGTGGCCCTCAAGGTGCTTACAATTGGCTCGTGAGGTCCTAACCCACAATAAATACCCTCAGGTTTCCTTAAAATAGTCTCCTACAATATTATTGACTACATATGGCCCATGATGGCTGTGGGAGTGAGCTATGTGGCCCCCTAGCCGAAAAGGTTGGACACCACCTGTCTATCCCTATACACATCCCTTTCATTCATATCTGATTCACTGCCGACAGTCTGCTTGAATCCATGTATTACTTAATTGCTTACGTCTTTCATAAGGAATTTAATCTATGCATGTTGCTTGCGTTTGCTCTCCATGGTAGTCACCATTGTTAACACATTGGTGACGGGCCCCGAGAAATCTTGTAGTATGCTCGCGAGCAGTTGGTGACCGGCCCCGGGACCAGTCACCAACCACTCACAAGCGTACTACGAGATTTCTCGGGGCCCGTCACCAATGTGTTAAAAGCTACGATGATGCCACAAGTTACATTTTACTTCAGCTAAGATGTATACTGTGTTGTACACAGAGAAAACATTCCAGACAATTTATGAAATATCTCCATATCATATTGAGTGAACCCTGGGCTCTTGTATTTATGACAACTCAGACAAAGAAGGGAGATTTCTGTAAAGCTTACAAAACTTTTACTCTGTGTTTCAAATGCAATAACTTTTCAAATCTGATATAAAAAATGCAGTGAACAAGCTATCTGCCCTGCCCCTCACCAGGGTACTTCATATTGGTTTGCTCCAATGTGGCTGAACAAAGATGGCTGGTAGACAGTGATGATATTGGCTTGTGTCAAATTCCTCTCCTCTCATTTCATAACAATTCCTTGAAGTCTTTTTTATAAACCTTTTGACTGCTGTTTATTTTTTCAGGCCTGGTGCCTTGGGATCAAAATTTTAAAACAAATATACTCAGGCATGGCAGTCAAGGGGTTAATGAGTGTCAATTTATTTTGCAAAAGTATCTCCTACATCATGTGAACCTCATGTTTTCTTACACATAACATTTCAGATGAATTAAGTGATTAAGGGCCACAGAAAGGCTTTAAAATAATTATTTATTTTACAAGCTCTGTTTTATAGTTGCCACAACCTTTATATGGCTCAGTGAATACAAGACCATACAACATGTTGCATCCTGTATGGCAGTCAACATGTTAAAATCCATCCAAGATGCAAAATAACCTTAATAACAGAGGTATCAAAAACCAATTTCTTCACTGAGACTACATGCCTCCTGCACTCAGTCATGTTGGAGAGCACCAAAATGAAATAGATGGTGAGAAAGAGCCTGCTGCTTTCTTGTTCACAGCAATTTTCAGCACTTCAACTTTAAAAAATCATTTCATGCATTTGGTAACATTTTGTTTAACTTGGCAGATATTTTTCTTATTCGTGTTAGATGTCATGTGCAGAAAAACATAAGACTTTCCTGGTGTTGAATGAAGATATTTGACCCATTCAGTGCTAGCATGGTTCATATCAATGCATGCCTTCTCAAAATTGCCAGAGCTAATCTGATCAACACACTGGTTTTGGTCAAAGGGTTCACATATATTCTTGTAAGATGGCTGTGATGTTTGGTCATTAAGGTAGAGGAAGGTTTGTCCTGACAACTGGCATCTTCTACAGGACTTTCAGTCATTTAAAGGAAATAAGTTAAGTGGTCTCAGCACTGAAAGGGTTAAAACTGACTCCTTATTTTTTTTAGACACTATATATTCAATTCATGGAGCTTAAAACAAATTTTACATGTTTTAATGAGTTGTCTCATACATTACTAGAGGAGAAAAATGATTAGGGTTACTTAACAATATCCAAACATGATTCCTTGATAGTGTTTCAGTTTAGCTTTCAGAGGAAAAAGGTGTTCATGAATGTCATTATATTAGGTTGAGGCATAAGTTCTGACCCTCTTAGACAAAGCAACCTTTTTATTTATTTGCAACAAATAACAAACAATCTCAATCAATGAAATATTGACTGTTGTGTTCAATGACCTTTGCCCAGCGCTCGGGCAGTTGGTCGATGCCTTGCTCGTAGAACTCGGCTGGCTTAGCCTCAAAGAACGTGGCCTAGTCTTGATGAAGGTTGTCATCATTTTTGTGGCAGCTGTTGGCAAGGTGGTGTTGCAGAGACCAGAACAGGTGGTAATCCGATGGCACTATGTCTGGAGAGTACGGTGGATGAGGCAGCGTTTCCCATCCGAGCTCCTTGATCTTTTCTTTGGTTGCCTTTGTGACATGTGGTCGAGCGTTGTCGTGCTGGAGAATGACGCCCTTTTGGTTGATCAGTGTTGGACGTTTTCTGCACAATTCTTCGCAAAGGCGTTGAAGCTGGTTGGAGTAGAGGTCCGCTGTGATTGTCTGGTTCTTTTGGAGTAGCTCAAAATGGATCACACCGTGCCAGTCCCACCAAATGCACATGAGGTGGCGCTTTGGGTGCAGCTCAGCTTTCGGCATCAAAGTGACTGCCTGGTCTGCGTCCAACCGCTGCCACTTGCGAGTGACGTTGTTGTAGCTGACTCACTTCTCATCCTCCATAATGATCCGGCCTAAAAACGACTCACTGTTTTGGCGCAACAGGAGTGAAGCACAAATCATCAGCCGTTGAGCCTTGTTTTCTTCGCTGAGTTCGTGGTGTACCCAAATGCTTCGTTTGCGCACCTTGCCAAGGTCGTGGAGATGTCTGATGACTGTTTTTTGGTCGCATCCAAGCTGCTGTCCAAGTTGACATGAAGATTGGCCCGGTTCGTCATTGAGCAGCAGATCTGCTGCTGCAGATCTTCGTTCTTTAGCTCAGCGGGTCGTCCAGAGCAGGGTTTGTCATCAATTTCGTCATTCCCAGAGGCGAATTTCTCGAACCATCGCTTGCATGTCAAAAGACTTGGAGCAGTTTCACCGTACGTTTCCAGCAGTTCTCGGTACGCAACGGTCACTGTCAGCTTGTGGTGGTACGCGTAAAGTAGGAGGGTGCGGAAGTAAACATTTTTGTCAATCATTGTGCTGAAAAATGGAGCAATACAATAAACGGTTTGTGGCAAATGAGGTATCAAAATACTCGGCTGACAAGCGGCAATTAAGTACAAAACGCAATAGCTGCCAGAATTTTACATAAAAAAATGACAGTCAAATTTCTAAGCATAGGTCATAGAGGGTATACCTCAACCTAATACATACAGTATATACATGTAGCATGATTGTGCCATATGTCCTCATAACAGGAAATTATGCAGGGTGATCATTTTATCAATTAACCCTGGAAAATGCATATAACAAGTAAACTATGTGTGAAACTAGGTGATTTATGAACCTGCAAAGTGCTGCCATCTATGTACAACCTGCACACTACACTGTTCTCCACAGATGACACCCCCACCTATTTTCACACATCTTTGACTTATAGTTGATTTGTCATAAGCATTTCCTAGGGTTAACTGATGAAATGATTACCCTTTACCTACCTCCTGTTTTTGGGCAACAGCTGGAGACAACTCTTAATAGCAAGAAAAATGATATTGCTACTTTGAATGTTGTACCTTTTCCATCATGATGTGTCATAGCTCCATCAGTTGGTTCCAACTAGTTCCACCAGTGATTTTAAGCATGGTGCCAGCTGATATTGTGAGTTTCCAAATTATATTTTTAACTGCTCAGGTAATGACCCCTTATTGTTCCAGTAGTGTCATGTTGGTTTTCAAATGGGAATATTGAATGGTCAAGGGTTGAATCTCAATGGTTCCAGCTGGATTTATGGTATTCATATATTGGGAAGGGACTGGTCCTAAAAGGTTCCAAAATTTTTACATATAGACTCTGGGATGGTTTTATTCTGATTCCATCTTAGATATGAATTCTGTTATGGTTCTCTCCAGACAGAAATTGAATGGGGATAGATAGATGAATATTGGGTGATTTCTCATAGTCACTCTCTGAATAAAATTGTTCCCATTTAGAAAAGAAAGCCAATGGCAAAATTGTGGAATATTTTCAGTCTCAAACTATGATGTATTCATTTTATAGACACTGAATGAATCACAAACACAAGGAATGAATCACAAAATTCCTCTCTCTAAATTAGTATCCCCCAAAACTGTAAACATGGAAATGAATTTAACTTAAGTTAAGAACTTTTTAACTGAGAAGGCTGAACTAGAAAATGCCAGAGACTTAGTACCTTGCTGTAAAGAATCATACAACAAATGCACTCAAAAAGTATAGATTTATTTTACAGCAATGCCATAAGACTGGACAGTAAGACTCATCAATGTTTCCTGCATTGTATGTTTTCAGCAAGGCTGTGTGACATCTTCATTCCTTTTTTATTACATATGACATTCTAGGACAATCTTTCTGCATAAACTTCCTCCTGTAAGGTGATTTTGCATTGAATCAAGTCATGATCCTTCTCATCTGAGGCATGCCTTTAGGAAATTAAAATTATGAAAAAGTTCATGTACTCTTGGGAATGACACTCAATATTTATTCTTTAAATTTGCTATTTGGTGCAGTGGTCAGTCTGAGGCTCATCAGGAATGGTCTATTTCCAAGAAATGAGTTGATTTTGTGGTTGTCTTCATTTCACTTTTGATATTGAGTAAATACATTTCAGAGTTAAGCTTCTTTTTTTTTCTTAAGTGAAATACATTGAGATATCTCTCTCAAAATGGACAAATGGTATCCTCAATTTTCCTTTTATGTTTTCCTCTTCAGGAGAGCCAAGAGAACTTGGAGAATGACAATGCCACTATCTTAAATCCATGTGGTAATAGGGGCAACTACATCACCAAGACCTCAGAGCAAATACAATCCCCATGTACTCTTCCCTTAAATTTCCCTTCCAGTGTGAGTTTCAATGCTTTTGCCAATACAAGTAGAGTGTGTACCAAGTAACAAGGGGCAACTCAGTATGAGACTTTAAAAATCTGGTAAGACCTAGTATTTATACAGAGTGCATGTCTGTATGTACAAGGTTATTTTGTAGCTCAGAATTCTTGCACCTTGTGTGGGTTAATGATGTTCATTACCATCTCCTCTCTGCTGACTCATGATAGTTATCTTAATTGGTTGCTCCTTCTGTCCTTTTTTTTCAGAAATCATTCAAGTTCATTGGAACCAGTGACTTTGAAAAGTGTTCAGCCAAAGTGGCTGATCTATTCAATGTGGAAGTTTGTCAAAGCAAATACTCCAAGCTTTGCTTTGATTCATCCATCATTCCTCCTAAGGATCAGCCATTTGTGGTGATTTTCTTTTTCATTTAATGAAATTCTTCAAGACTTATAAGCTGAGCAGAAAATTGTCCCTGCAACATAGCACTCCATGTCATTCTTGAGAGATACTAATCTTAAATTTCTTATCTTTTTCAGGGCATATCTGGATTTGCATATGTCTTGAATGATCTCAAACTTCCTGAACCACTCAATGAACTGGATGTGAAACAACTTCTGGAAAAGAGTTGCAGGAACAGCTGGGAAGAATTGCTTGCAAACCTGGAGCAGATCAATGAGAAATTTCTGCCAGAGTTCTGTTTGCGCTCACACTATGCATTCTACCTGCTCACACAAGTCTATCAGTTCACTGGCTCAAAGTGGCATGATGTTACCTTCAAGACCCAGGTGATTTCCATTCAATGTTTATATCTAAAATTGAAAAAGATCTCCATCCACCCAGGTTATGTCAACCTTGTTATCCTGGGCATCCCAAGCAAATCTTTGGCATGTCTCAGAAGTCCCATCTAGGAGCTGAGTAATTCTTCACTGATTGACAGTGATTCTCTCTATTCCTCAGAAAAGGCAGAGTGAAACCTAAAAAGTGAAATGAGCTTTCCCTTTTCTTTCTTCTGTGGAGGCAACATTTGGTTCCCTCAGGACAGAGCACAATCTTTCCATTATATTGAATAAACCAGTCCAATGCTTTTTATCAATCACATAGTTTGAATTTCTTTATGCCTGCTTCAGTGATTTCTCAGAAGCCCTCAACTGGCTCCTTTCCAATTTTCTTTTTCTCTTCTCCAATCTCTATTTCAAATGTGATTGAGCTTCTAATATTGTTTGACTGACATTCTTATTGAAGAATTACCCCTTCTTTTATAAATACCCACTGCTAATTTCAAAATTTCTTTAAATGAGATACTGTTATTACCATGTAAATAATATACTAGCTCATGTACATTCACTAAGATATTTTGGAATTGAATTTGGTTAATCATTTGGGACTAAATCTCTATGGCTTTGATTGGCTTAATCATAATTGTCGTAAGTCTCAGCTATACAGCTTGACGCCTCATACCCCATTTTCAACTGTAGTTTGAACCAGGAAGTATTCCTGGACTGTCTGTGTGAGACACTCAGCAGCTGCCCTGTCACAGAGGTATTTCTTGAGTTGGAAGCATGCTCCTACTCCTGTACCATTCCACATGTTCCCTTGCAAAGTTTAAAAATATATATCCTATAATATTTATGCATTGTGCCCTCAAATCATTTGGCCTTCTCTTTGATCTTATGAATTCTTTGATATTCCTTCCTCATCCCTTCCTGTGCATTGCAGAAATGACAGACATTATGTCTTTCTATCATACTAGGTGGAGGGAGCTGAGCTTGGGTGGTCACTTGGATATATCATCAATGCCACTAATGCCATCCCTGCCAAGCCTCCATATCGGCTCCTGGCAGAAGAGGTCTTCTCACCTCTCGTTGTCACCTGTCTGATTCTTCTCATCGCCTCGACGGCTCTCGCACACGTGGCCTGGAGATACAGACGGAGGTACCGGCTCGAGGAGAATGCCGCCTCGCAGTCCCTCACCCAGAAGGCACAAGAATCATCTGTTGTGTGATCTCAATGAATCATGAGTGCCATATGCCATGTGCAGTTCTGAATGGCTGTACATTGAAAGCAGTACAGAATGGCATAGTTGCCTCTCCCAACTTTAAACAACCTGACCTGTTAACATTAAAGGGGAAGAGTCCTTGCTTGATGTGGCATTACCTGTTCCTTCTTAACCCAACTGGAAGTCGCAGAAGTTCATAGTTTTTGCTGTTGTGAGCGTGATATTTACACTAAAGAAGTGCTTGCTGTTGCTTTTTGTTTTGGTTTTACCGGGCAGCTGAGTGAAATAAGCCATTAGGACTCATACGCACTGTTTCATGGTCTCCTCGTCCATTGCCTTGACTAAAATAAGAGCTTTTTTTTTATCAGAACTGTGTCCACTTCATTGACCTGCCTCGTAGTGAGCCATGTGTCACAGAGAGGCCACTTGGCCTTGGGAGTCTGGCCATTTCTTTCTGTTCCAACTTTATTTGTGAAAGCATAAAAAAAAATGCCGACAATTGTTCGACCATTGCAGTTTAGCATAAAATTTGGCACGTGTACATACCGCCCAGATCTTTGCAAGTTAACCTCCATTGCTGGCAGACTCGGATCAAGCACGAACGAACCGCTCAAATGAGGAAAAATGACAAAAAATGCAGATGGAACGGCCTCACCTCCATCTGTTGAGGATATATGCCTCAAATGACACTCAAAATTTTGCAATCATCCGTCTGTCGCTGGACTTCCAACAGCAACCTGAACCCGTACGTTTTGAATATCACCAACCAGAAAGCATAGGTAGGGAGCGAGAAGCTCCAATCCACGATCGGAGGAATCTCCGTGAAAGTGCCATACTCTGAGGGGCCCCTGCTAATTTGCTTCCCTCTCCATTCAACATGCTTTTGAGGTGGGTCCTTGTTCTTCGTTTTCGTTGCTGACGGACTTTTAGTAAGAGGACTAAAAGCCTCTTTACAGTAAAAAAAAAGGGTCTATATGATGTACACAGATGCTGTGATATGATGCTATCGTCGATCCTGTATTTAAGATACGCAAAGAGTTCATAAAATAAGTGTAGTAAATGTAAGTGGCACATCTCGTGCATGTTCACTCACCAAGACAAAGCATTCAAATATTCATAAATCTGAGAAGTCAGCACGTACCTTCATGCCTTCAGATTACAAAAGTCAAAACACCCAAAGGAAATAGGCATGTCACTTGCGTGGGGGGGGGGGGGGGGGGGGGGGGGGGGTTTGGGCTCAATTTTACAAGTTCTATTCTCGCAAATTTTTTTCTTTGGCCACAAATGCAAGGTGGATTATCAGTTTTTTTCATATGTTAACCCCCCATTAGGGTGGGTAATCAGTGTTTCATATGGCAATCCCCCCGCCCCATTCGGATTTCCTGGGCACGCTACTGGGTGGTTCTATAGTTGAAAATTTGCCTACGTTTGCATGATGCCACTGATTGCATTTTTCAGGCAAAGTCACAGAAGTTGTTGGAATCATCCACTGCAACTTCGAGTGCTCGACCGCGTAAAGTACAATATTCATTCGTGTCGTAATCTCCGAGTTACACGGCAATCCGCCGAGCCGAACTGGCGATACAGAATTTTTTTTTCATTGCAATTCCCTGTACTCGCGCAGATGGAAATTATTCCTGAGTTACGATCGCCTCATTTCCGGCGCACCTGTCCCCCCAGACAGGAAGCAAACGCGAGGGACTCCGCATAGACACCTCACCGACAGATGCTTCCGCCCGTCTGCCGGGGGAGGGGAGGGGCGAGGGGGAGGGGGTGTTCTCCCCGCAGCCAACAAGCGCGTCGCTCTGAGTCCGAGATAGCCACCGAAATCGACGATCAGGATTGCCGGAGAGAAAGTGTCGACGTCACGTGGAATCTAAAATATTCGCCCCAAGATCGCGTGACCGGCCTCACCGGTTTGCCCCGGACGGTCCCGGTTCGAAGGCGGTAATAACACGACCCGGTGACGAAAAAAAGGAGAAAGGGACTCGCGCGTTCCCACGGAATCCATGAGCGTCCAGTTTCAAGAATCGGATCGCCTGCATTCTGTATTGAAAACAACCCCACGACCATCGCTTAGCATTTCAAATGCCCCTCCTTCCCCCTTCCGTCCCACCTTCCATCCCACCTTCCATCCCACGCATTCAGTTCGCTGACTCACGTGAACCATTTGCTTCTGGTCTCGCTGACACTCTTCAATATTGGCATGGAAATTTTTTCCTGTTTCAAGTTCTGTCCTACCGAACGTAATTTTGAATCCCAGCAGCGAGCTCATCATTCAATCCGTTCAAATTCGGGCCAGAAAACGAAAACGACCAATGGGACCGAGTTCGGTCGGGGGAAATCCACGACGTAAAACGCCATTCCCTCACGGTGGAAAACAAATCCTTCAAGTATTTTCCCACGCATTCAGTTCGCTGACTCACGTGAACCATTTGCTTCTGGTCTCGCTGACACTCTTCAATATTGGCAT